CTCCAGACCTCCTTCCCACATTTACACTCCAGCAACAGGGAATGGTTTGTGGTTCCTCACACACACTCCATGGTCTCTTACCCAGTTTCTGAAACACACGAGCAAGTTTTTTTTGCTTGAGCAATTCTTCCTCCCTGCTACGCCAAAGCCTCGTTTCATCAGGGAAACACCTCCTATTCATCACCAAGAATCCTTCCCATACTAAACACCTCTCTGAACCCCGCACACTTCACTGGGTGATGCGCCCTCCTCTGCACTAGCAGAATGTCCTCTAGAATTTTATTTATGATACTGTATTATAGTCAATATAAGGGTCAGCCACTCCCACTAGACTACAGGTTCTTTGAAGGCAGGGTAGGCTTCATTCACTTTTAATCAGGTATAAACATCATATAATGAAGGAAGGAGACCAATGCTGGGAGGCAGAAGAGTGATCCAGTGCACCGCCCTGGCCTTGAACAGTTCTCCATTGCCATCTGAGTCTTTACTATTAAGAAAACTCAGGAGTGGAAAGAGGGAAGCCCTGTAGCTCTACCTCTCCCCTGAGCCTCGTCTGAGGCCTGCAACTCCTGGGAGCTCACCAACCCTCTTTTCCTGAGCAGTTTGCTGTAGATGGGACAGATCTTAAAAAGAGTGGCATGAAGAATGTTAAAGCTGGGTGCTCTGCTCTGGAAATAGGACCAGGGGCTGGGAAACACGCGGATCCAGGTACTAACTCTGTGTTAATGAATGAAACTCCTCAAATGCCTCATGGCTTCTTTAGAAATATTCTAACTGAAAATGACACCAACTAATTGCCCCCAGGAACTCAAAGGTGGGTTAGGGAGCATTTAACTGTTTAAGAGATGCAATCACCAACCATCCTGAACCAGATCAGGCCCCACCACAAGAGCATGACCTTTGGCTCATTTTTCATGCTAAGATCTCCTCTCTGGGAGGACCTTAGGCCTCCTTACAGTAACCTGCAGTGTATGTGGAAGCGTGTTTTCCAACTGAGCCTGCACAAGTGAATACTCACCTCTCCCTTTTGAATATTCATTCCCACCTGAAATAAAAGGTCCCTGCTTCCCTTTTCGGGGACACTATGACTTTGGAAATGATTCTGTGTGGCCTCCTATTTGGCGCAAATAAGCTCTCCTTTACGTGACAACTACCTCTGGTGGAGAGTCTGATTTAACTCACCAGGAGGCGAACCCACTTCAGTTTCGCTAACAAAAATACCCAAGTTTTATTTCATATCATGACCTTGCACAAAACTGTCAAGCCATAAACCTTAATACGACAGGCTTCCTGTTTCAATCCAAAGCAGTCAGGTAAACAAGAAAACAGCCACTTTTGGTAAGATACAGTTATTTTTCTCCCTCCAATTCTTTTTACAATGAAGTCTAATCTAAAGCCACTCTCTCCTTTTTTGCAAAGATAACACTGCTCCTTTTTTCTTGGTCTTAACAAGTCACTTGCTTCAGTGTGTCAGTTTTCCCAGAGAGAAGGCTGCCCATCACAGAATGTCTTGGTAATTTAAAAATAAAGCCTAAGAAAGCAATTTTAAAAGGTAAAACCTTGCTATTCTAAGTTCTTCATAGATGGTGATGCCAAATCATGCTATTGACGTTAATCTAGCTGACTTTAATTTCAACTCATTCATTCAACAAACAAGTATTGAACCCCTATGTTTATAATGTTACTTTAAAATAGATTGAAAGGCTTGTTGCCAAGGAACTTGCTAAATAATCCCCTAAACTTGTTGACATGAATAACTCCTGATTTATGTTGAATAAAGAGAATTCTTAGAACTGAAGTGTTTACTCTTCTTCCTTTTTATTAGTGAGGAAAAAAAATTCAACCCTCTAGAGAGGGAAAAAAAATCAAGAACATAAAATAATAGAGCCTAAAAGGGAAATAAAGACCATACTGACTCAGCCCTCCTCAAGAAACTGACATCTGGAACCCAGGTCTCCCCTGATCTCAGGCCAAAGATCTCATCTCAAGAGAGGGCCAGGCTATTTATTAAGCATTTTCATGATTTTGTTACAGTGAAATTCCAAATGTGAAATGTAGTCATATTCAAACATCAGTGGAAGAAGGTACTTTAGAGCTTGATTTTTATATAAATTGATTTTTTAAATTAATCACTCTGTTAAATTACCCATCTCTCTCATCTCTTGTTTGTGGAATAAGAAAAGTTGATATGTCATTTACTAAGGGAGCAACTATGTCAAAACCATGGAGGTAGAAATGCAGTTTTGCTCATATTTACACAAAGTAACACACACACACACACACACACACACACACTATTTCAGCTTAAGGTACTATTGCCATTCTCTATTGTCATCAATTTTGAATTTTTTTTCCTAAATGTAGTTTACTCCAATTAATTTCTTCAGTCATTTCAGCTGTAAAGTGGGGATAATAACAGTGCCTACTTTCTAGGGTTGTTGTGTGACTTAAATGAGCAAATATCTGGAAAGCACTTATAACGATGTAGCACATAGTAGGTGTTATTTAAGGGTTAGCTATTGTTACTCATCCAAAAGCTATGATATTTTTAGAAGTTAGACATTTCCTCTAATTTATGTCCCCAGTTCAGATGATATGAAAGCAGGAGCTGTAGGAAACCAAACCAACCTTGCCAATGACAAATAGAAGTACAAGTAGTATAAAAAATGCTCCTCTGTACAAAAAGATGATTATGCAAGGAGGTTAGAATTGCCTAGGATAAATTTTAAATGTGTGTGAAGGGCAGTCTTCATTATGCTTGGAAGTGGCAAAAATCTATTTGTGTTGCTTTGAAAATGAAGATGTGTGCTATGAAGATGGTATTCTAAAACCATAAGTGATCTCGATTCAATTAGGCCAATTGGAGGCCTACCGAAGAACTGGAGGATGGAGAATAGACAAAGAGCTGATGACATACAGAACAAGGAAAAGGGAGAGGAAATGGAAATAATTAGCTGTGCAGAGATGTACAGAGGGGACGCCATAGGAGAGGAATAGAAAATTACCAAAAAGGAGAAAAAAGAGGTAAGAGACAGAGAACTGAGGGAAGGAGGAAGGGCAGTACCTGTGAACAGCAGGTGGAATAAAGACAGAGAGTGTAAGATGGAGATCTACACTCACACAGGCTCCTACCTTAGAGAGCAGGTCCTATGTTAGAAGCAAAAGAGAGGGGAGAGCAGTAGGGATTGTTTAAATCATATCTGAGCAGTCCCGCCCCCTCCAGTGGGGTCACTGAGTGCTTTTCAACATGGTGGAAATTGCTTGAACTATATAAAATTTTAACATGTTAGATTCTCTATTGTACCTCTTTTATACCACAATACCTACACATAAAAGTAAAATGTAATTGTGCCTCAAAATCGCTTTTGCATCTTATTTGATGGAAGCTGCCAGAAACAGAATCCAGCAGTGCGCCCAGGACAGAAAAGGGCTGTGGTGCAAGCAAACATCTCAGGAGGAGCAGCTCAGTTAAGAATCAGGAGCCAGCAGTCCTGGCGATGGCGCGAGGGCGGAGCCAGTACTCTGACAGCAACACTAAACTAAGGGACGAAGAGATATTGAGACGGGCGTATAGCAAAGAGTCACAGAATTTATCTCAGGGTGGTAGGATCAATCTTCGTTTTTCCTTTGTTAAAACGTTTGTATTTTCTAAATTTTTAAGTGAGCATGTTTGACTTTTATAAGTAAAAAAAAAGTTTTCCTAAAGAAATGAAAAACAATAACCAAACTGAAAGCTGCTGAGAATGTTGCATTTCAAGTACTGTCATACACACTTTGGGGACACGTTCAGATTTATTCTTGAGTGGGGGAAGGGGTAACAAAGCATATTTTTTTTGGTCCTAACATTTTGTCTCTCTCTTGCTTACAGGCAGTCACCAGAGGAAATCAGCCACAATGTCTTTAGGCTGCACTTTGCTTAACACATTTAATTGAAGAGAGTTCAGTAGAAGAGAATTCAAGACGGCTGTGAATTTTTTTAACGCAAGAAATCACTCATTTCATTAATTCCAACCTTCATGAATTAAATTTTATTTATTTGTATGTCGATTGTTGTAATTAGGAGAATGAAGACAGCTTATAAGGCAATGTTCCTTTTTGGCTTTTCTTAGCACAGCATGTTCATGTGGGAATTTATCTTTCACCTCGTCCAAGGCATTAGGTTGGGCGTTGGCCGGTTTTCAGAGCTTCCTCCCTGAGGAGCCTGACGGCTCCACTCACGTGCCTGTTTGTCCCTCTGTAAGTCTTCCCTGACGACGGATCCAGACTTTTTCCGTTTAAAATTTAACAATGACCAAACCAAATCCCAAAACAAGCTACCAGGCTAAGATACAAAGTCTTTTTTTTTTAGTCTGGAGAAGCGCTGCTGAGCAAAGCTGGCCGGCTGCTGCTCGTGCAACCCGCATCTGTGATCCTTTCTGGTCTCCTATCCACCCACTCCCACCCGCGCCCTACGCAGAGCCGGAATTCTGCCCCCCAAACCCTGGGCGTGAGTAAAGCGTGCCTCTAGCGCCTCCTGGATTCTGTCAAGGACGCTGCCCTGGTCGATGACGGCAGGGCGCCTCCGCGGAGTCTGGAGCAGACGCCAGAGCATCCCTCCCACGGGGTGTGCGGTGCGGACGAGCCGAGTAAACGCGGATTTTTGGCTGCCTTTCCAGCTAGGGTGGGTGGGGAAACGTGTGTCCTCCTAGAGTTTAGACCAGAACCTATGACTCCCTCTCTCTCTTTTCCTCTCTCTGTCTCTCTCCCTCCTTCTTTTCCTTCCTCCCTCCGACCCTTTCTTTCTTTCTCAAGGTGCAGGAGCTCTCCTTCTTTTCCAGACCAGAGAAGGGAGCCTTTCCAGCTCCCTTTCCCCTCACCCACCTATTAAAAGATGGGGGGAAAAGACAAACACAAAAAAAACCGGGAGTAATAGCGAGTGGATCGGCTCGGCGCTCAGTGAATGGAAGCTGCGGGGCGGGCCTGCGCGCACGGCCCTGCCCCCGATGCTCTCGCCCGGGGCCTGGAGGGCCCCCTCCAGCCCCTCGCCGTCCTCCCGCTGCGGGCAGAGGCTGCCGCCGGCTCCGCGCTCCACGCCGGGGCACCGGCGGCCACCGGGAAGGTCGGAGGGAGGGTGGTTTCCTCCCGCCCCACACCCAGTCTCCGAGCCGGATGTACAGAGTGTCACGTTTGGGAGCCGAAAGACCAGAGCCGTTTCCCTGTGGCTGGAGCGCTTCCCGCAGCCTCGGGCAGGGGCCGGCACTGAGGACCACTAGTTAAACTCCACCCCGTGCCGGAGGAGCAGGTATTCCAGGGTCCGCAGCCCGGCCGCTCACAGAGCCCACGCCTCCGGAGGCAACGACCGGGTTGGGGGTGGCCCGGGAGGGAGGGCTCGGCTGGGTTGGCGAGGGCTGGGCGGATCCCTGCGGGGCCTCGAGGAGGGGTGGGCGCGGGGCCGGAGGGAGGTGGGAAGCGTTTCCGAGGCTCTGCGCCCTGGAGCTGCCTCCAGCCGCACCCGGTGGTCAGCGGGCGGGTTGGGCGCATCGGGCGCCGGCCCTGCCCGCCAAGGTGGGGCGCGCGGGGGGTGGGAATGGCGGCAGGCCGGGAAGGGCCGGGCAGGGTTAACGGGGGGAGCCGCGCCGTGGCGGCGGGGGACTGAGGGAGCGAGGCTCCTGGCCGGTCTCGCCCAGGCCTCCTTGAACCCTGGGGCCATTCCTGGAGAGAGCGCGCGGACTCCGGGGCCGGTGTGGAGCGGCGCCCGCCCAGGCTGCCCTCCCTGCGCCGGGGAGGGCTCCGCAGCGCGTCCTCGTGCGCCCCGAGCCCCGCCACGGGCTGCGCACGTCCCGACCCTCCCACTAGGCCCTCGTCCGGGTACCCAGCTGGAGGCTGAAATGGGCTGGGACGGCCAGGGCGGGGTCTGCCCCCGATGGAAGTTTTCGACCTCTTTCTGTAGCCTGGGCGTCGTGGAGAGAGCAGGGGAGCACGTACCAGAAGACACTAAGTGGAGTAGACGGCTTGCGGGGAAGGCTGCGCCCCTGGCAAGGAAGATTACCCGCGGGGCAATTCCATTCATTTAAAAGAAGTAATGACCAACTTAATCCTAGACACCACAGGAAAGGGTCCCACCTGCCGGCCTCCTATTCTTTCACCTTTCGGGATGGATAGAATTATGAACACTTATTCTTCCATGGATGAGTCACCTGGTGTGAGCAACCAAAGTTCTCATTGAATCTGCAAGAGCTTTGGCGGCTGGTTGAATGGTGTAGAGCCCCCCATTGTGCCA